TCCGGGTCTGAGTTTCCGACCTGTTTATCTACCCGGGTTGGGTTAGGGTCGACCCGATTGAATCCGAATTAGTTCCGAGTTCGACCCAAACTAGACCCATGACCCGAAATTGACACCCCTAAGACAGAATGAGAATTGCTGAAGATGAGTGATATTTTTGTTGTTAAATTAATGTTTGAGTGATAAGAATGTAATATTTATCTTTTGAATGTTAAATATATAATATAGATGTAATAAAATCACATGGTAAATCCCATAAAAATTATGTGCCATCAACCATCATCATCTTCGTCTAGCTTCGTAGTACTCATGAGCAACAAACTCTTGGAAATGAAGCCGGCTCCGCCGTCGCCGCGGGCGGCGCCTGTCTTCCTTACTGATTGTTTGGAAGAGCTTCTGAGATTAACTCTCTCTGCTTCCCTTTTGGAGGATTCTGATGTTTCATTAGGATTTTCCCGACTATACTGCGATAACCTCCTCCGAGACGACCCCTTCTTATCCCCTTCACATATTAGCTCGGTACGACCCTAGCAACTTCTATATCTTCTTACCTTTACACTCTTCCCGGAGGTAATTTTCATATAAGAGATTTCCGTAGACGGCAGTGAAAGGTGTACCGGCGTATCCTTTGTACAAACACCTTGCACGCGCTTTGGAGGGTTGTATAAGCTCTGGGAAGTTCTTGAGAGGCCTGGGTTCGGTGAAGGGATTACGAGAAGACGAGTTCTTCATGTTGAAGCAGAGAGAATGGGATAGATTGATCATGGAGAAGGGTGCTGAGTTGGTCAATGTGAGCTTAACCTAGCAATTGAGTGTCTTCACATAATTTTGGCTTTTGGACATTTTATGTGCTGTCTTATGACGTTTTTATATAATTTTTTTGTAAGGCAGATGATGGAGAGTGTAGAATTTGAACTCCATGTTCAGGAGCCTTTCTTCTCGCAGCTAAGAGGTGAATTTTGGGCACTGAAAATTAGTTTGAGCGCATTGTTTCTGCAGAGTTTCATAACAGGACACGAAGAACACTGTAGTTACATGCAAAATTTAGCAAGTTTGCAATAGTAAGGCGTTATCTTTTTGTTTAATTAAAAATGAATATATCATGCCAAAGTTATAGCTGTTTTCATCAACTGTAATTGATACTGTGCCAAAAAAAAACAAAAATTGCACATATTGAATTGAACATAACACGATTTCATTTTGCAGAATCTAGGTTCCTCTAAAATTAAGGGTTTGAAATTTTATGCTTGAATGTATTTTTATGTATCTTCTTTATAAAGTACTTAATATACTTATCTGGTCATCATGGGACTAAGTGATTATGTGCTGATTATCTGCAGTGGGAATGAAAACAGCTGAAGGTAGATGTGCAACTGAAGATTATAATAGGTTGGCTGTACAAAATTATCTAAACCTAATGGATTTTCACTCTTTTATTCAATAAGTCATCCTGTTTGATCTTAGAAGTTCACTTATCTGCATGCTGATCATCTTTGGCAAAGTTATGACTTTTTTTGTTTTTCACACTGTGTCACTGCTTTGTAATTTTAATAATTGTCTTTGAATAAATGGTATAGATGAGTGAAAAATTATAAGCGGACAAAGATATTTGAGACTCTTTTCTAATATCATTTTGATGAATGTAAAGATTGCTTGATAGATATATTGATGTTCTGCCTAAGCTTGTTGCAATTAGGTAATCTTGTGTATCCACTAGCATAGGCCTGAAAAGGTAGATAAATGTGTGTAAAATGAAAATTTTGAACTTTTTTGAAATGAAACTCCATGAGTCCATTACAAAGTGGATGAATTAATGGATAATTCACTTTCTCTCTAGTATCAACATGTTTTCAGCTGCTTAGCCTATCTTTGAAGGGAAAGCATGATCTGAGACAATGAACTATGGTTGTACTATGAAAGAATGTTGGCGGGCAGATGGGTGGGTGGATGGGGTTGTGCGGTGCCGAAGCTCTCAAAGTGTGTCCAATATTTTTAGGTTATTTCATTAATGACAATTTTGGAAATTTTATTATATTTTTATCTGTCCTTGGTATTTGCTTTATAAAGAGAGGGGTGTCATCTTATGCTCATATTAGATGAATTAGTGTTTAAACTATTTATGATCAAATCATAGTAAAATCTACAAAGTGTCTATAGGATGTAGCTATCAGTTGGGTGAAACTAAATAAAATTCTTTGTATATTTTCTTGCAATGATCTCCCTTTCCCTTTTCTTTGATTGAATAGGGTTTTGATTATTTGCTAATACATCCCATTTATTTGTCACATCTTGAGTCCAAAAGATGGTACATCCTGACAACTCATGACGTGATGACAAGGTTAATATCAACTTTTGAGATAAATCTTAAAAATCAAGTTCAATTAAATTTATTTTGCACTCACAAAAGAAAAGTTTTATATACAAGTATTAATAAGTAGCAAGTGTAAGGAATGAAAAGTAAATAATATTTTATTGAATCAATGGAATCTTAATAATACTTTAACATGGAAGAAAAAGTAATAACTGATAGAAAAAATGGAAGAAGAATCATTTAGAAAAGTACTTTGAATTTTAAATTTTTAATGCTTAATTTCTATACCATACTTGTTAACGGCGAATGGCGCACCACGGCGCAAAGGTCCCTTTGGAGCCATTACGCATAGCGCATGGCGCGGCGCACGCCATTTTGAATATGACGTAAACTATAAAAGAATTATAAAATAATAAGCATGAATATGAAATATCATTAAACTGAAAGACAAGCTATCATAATAATGAAAGATAATTATAGTCATATATAAATTCAAGTAAACAACACCCAAATATCTCATAATTCGAAATATTATAATCATTTTTTTTTAATGGTCAATTATTTTATAAGAATTTAATCAACTATTCTTTGGAATTATCATCATCAACAAATGCCCAAAAAGCTTCGTTATCTTCATCATCATTTTTTTAATTAGCATATAAAATAACAAAGTTTTATGGTTCCTTTGCATGTTTAGGGCTTTTAATGAGTCCAGTTTGGCCCTACAAGGGTTAACTTGAGCTAAGAACAACCAAAGTTTGAACCTAAGAGTGAAGCACCATCACCGAAAGCAACTGATATGGACAATAATGCACCATTCTTTCACAATAACATATCAATAACACCAAGATCTTGGCTGGCATTGCATCAATCATCCAGAAAAAAAAAAAGAAATGCTCCCAAATTTAGTACAACTACTATTATGTTTTGGCATTTAATTAGTTCAATGCAATACCTTATGGAGAATGAATTTGAAAACAACTTCTTGTTACAAAATATTTCCCAAATTTTATTAAGTGTTAATGGAAATTATCATTTATCTCTCCTAAACTAAATTAATTATATGTAGCCCCTTAAAACCAAACAAGATATTAAATACTTTTATTTTTTCAACCAATTTGATGATAAAATGAGTTTTTTAATTAAAATTATATTTAATGTTTTGCCAGATAAAATATACATTCTATGCTAAATGTTCAGTAAACTTCTTTGTGTTACGTATCCCAAAGAAAAAAAAAACAATTGTCATTTTACATTTTATTTGATAAATATATAATCTCTTTTATTATATTTCTTAGAGGTAAAAGAGGTGTAATAATAATATAAGACTAATGAAAGATCAAAACGATCAAACATATTATAATAATAATGAAATTATTAAAAAAAGTGCAAAAATTTAGTACTTCTATAAATCATTGTGTTTTGCACAAAACAAAATTATATAATATTAAAAATTCAAATAAAAAAAAAAAGAAAAACATCACTAAACAAGCCCTCTTTAATTTCAAACAATAGCGCGCGCTATTTTGCGCCGTGCGCCATGGCGCGCATGTGGCGCAAATAGCGTGCGCCATTTTGAACATCTGCGCCACGCCATGCACATGGCGCCGTAGGTGCGCCGCGCCATGTGCCATGGCGCGCGCTATTTTGCGCCATTGACATCTATGTTCTATACAAAATGTGAATGTATTTAACTATTTATAGACTTCTCAAATAGGCTTACAATGAAAATAAATCAAACTTATTTACAAAAAAGAAAAAAGTTCCCAAGAGTGGCTGATGGTTAGAATAGAAAAATGAGACACAAGAATTGCAATCTAAGGGATATAAAAGGATCTATCTTACAGTTAAAACTTTTAATCAGTGTGCTCAAGGAACTTTGCCAAGGATGGTTGACTTGTCGGTCCCATGTCCATTAATACTCTATTTCAAACTAAATGGTATAAATCTAGTATTCCAAGTTTGCTTAGAATATTTTTGAATATGGGATCACAAAATCCTTTGATAATATTGTGTCTGTAAGTTGATGTTTTGTTGACACATATGGATAGATATTTCATAAATATTTTATCAAACTCATCTTCCAATTAAGAGTTTTCCTATTAAAGATGAGTTTGATTGAAAAGATTTTACTTTGCATAAAAACAAGTCATCTTTTGAAGTAAGCAATTCTTAAGTGGCATGATAAAAACACTTGTATATTTTCTGGGTGGAGAAATGCCTTACAAAGACATGTTTGAGGGCTTTAGGATCAAGTTTACCCTTTTATTATTTGTAAAGGTGGATATAGGCAATATGCCCATGGATTTTTGTAGAAATTTTTGAGAAGAAGTTATTTATTGGGATGATAATTAATAAGATTTTTTAGGCCAATTATTCTTGAAGGTATTCTATTGATTGGATAAGTGGCAATTAGGACTACTTCCCTAATATTTTTTGGACATTTGATTTTGAAAGAGAAAAGTTGTGATGACTTCCATAACATGACAATTTTTTCTTTCTACCACTTAAACGGGAAGTGTCAGGAGAACACAGATGATACATTCTTTATGAAAAAAGATGATAATATGTCATAAAATAATCATGAGAATTATCCATCTGAAATATCTTAATGTTAATATTAAATTATCTTTATGTCATGACAGTAAAAATAGGGAGAATAAGGCTTATATCAAATTTTTATTTAAAAAAATATGTCATTCTACTGCAGTCATCAATGAAAATGAAAAATCCTATAGCTTCAAAAATGATGGGAATTATGGAGAGTCCCTAAATGTCAGACTGAATAATTAAAAAAAGATTAGAGGATTTAAAATAACTTATAGAAAAGTAGCACGATGATTTTTGGTAATTTAATAAGTCTCATAATAAAAAAATTTCATGTTTATATTGAAAAGAAAAGATAAAAAAACGTACATTATAGGGTTATTGATGCTCTCAAATGGTTTTTATATAGAGAGTGAAAATAAACAAACATGAGTGTTTCTTTCTTTAAGAAGATATAACTCATCTTTTTCTTAGCTTGCCCGATATTCTTTTATGAAATGTTTATCCTTCTCTACATGCTTTGTATGATTATGCTAGACTGAATTATAAGCAATGCTGATAGTTGATTTATTTGCACAATAAATCTTTATTGACCATTCTCATTTGATTTTTAAATCTTCCAAAATGATTTTGATCCAAAGAAGCTTATAAATTTCTTGAGCAATAGCTCTAAATTCAGACTTAATGTTAAATCTTGAAAAACATGTATTTTTTCCTCCATATTGTGAGATTTCCTCCAAAAAATGTACAATATCCAATTTTGAATATTTTATTCACCGGCAATCCTACATAGTTTGCATTAGCATACCTTTGATTTGTAAAGTATTATGTTTTTATGGATGATTTCTTTAGAATTTATTTTAAGGTATATGAAGATTTTATAGGCAGTTTGAAGGTGATACCCTTAAAGTTTGTGCATGAATGGATTGATGAGACCCATTGTAAATACGATGTCTAGACGAGTGTGAGACAAAGATATTATTTTTCAATTAATCTTTGATATTATCTCATGTTAACTTCTTTTTCTTCTTCACATGTAGATAATTTTTGATCTGATTTAGTTGGAGTTTTATAAGGTTTGCAAGTAGTCATTTTTGTTTCATTAGATCAATGATATATTATTGTTTAGAGAGGAATATTCTTTGTTCAGAGAGAATATTCTATTTTCATATTGAATAATTTTTGTACCAAGAAGTATTTGAGTTTGTCTAGCTCTTTGATTTCAAATTCTTTAACATATTTTTTCTCAAGTGAATTCTTTCTATTGTCATTACTTTTGATAATTATATCGTCTACATATACTATAAGAGTTGAGATTTAACCATTAGTGGAGTGTTTTATGAAGAGGGCATTATCTATTTGAATTTATCTGTATCTAATTTCTTTCATGGCTTTTGTGAATCAGCTAAACCATGCTCTTGGAGATTGTTTAAGACAATATAGAGCATTTTTTTAATATGCAAAATCTATTTGTTGTGAAAGAACTACAAAATTCGGGTGGTTGATCCATGTCGGTTTTTCCTTCAACATC